ATATCAGATTCCCAAATGTGCTTATGTTATTCTTTTGAAAAAAATTGACAATGTTTATAAGCACAGTTTGCGTATGGAAGTTGTTAGCATTATGTTCTATTGGGGGAAAGATTTTGCGAAATCGTGAGGAAGGTGTGTCATACGACACTGAAGTGCAAGGGTTGTACAATGTACATAGGAGGATAACATTGGCCGAGTTGGAGGCTATGATGGTGCCCAAGGTCAATACGTATGGGGAAATAACGCGAGTAAAGTTTAAATGTAGACTCCCATGTCTTGGGAAGTATACGTTGTTGCCAATCAACGATAATGAGATATTAACAAATGTCTTGGATCTCCCACAAAAATATGGTCCTAAATTTTATTTGAAAATCTATGTGGAGAAGGAGAGCAATGTTGGTGGCACATGCATGCCAATTTCGGTGGGAGGGACATTCACTCAAATGTTGACATGATCGCAATCCCCCGACAATACACTTATACAGTCTGCACACATGTACCCTCAAGATTACCCTTCATTCAATTATTCTCAGAATTACACTCAATTCAATGCATCAGAGCATGTTCATGGTTGTTACAGTGCCGGAGCAGGTCCAAGTGCTCTAACAATGTCTAATCCGCTGGTTCGTACAACCCCATCTACCCACTGGAATGAAGAATGTCCAATAGTTTTTAATGGTGAACGTACAACAGAGACAACAACCCAATTGTATGCAACCTCCGATGATACAATGCCATTTTATGATGAGCCTAGAGTAAGTGATGAAGATTCCGTAGAAGATTTCGATGGCACAAAGGAAGGTGAAGACAATGAATCCGGTCATGATGGAGTTGGAGGGCATGATGAAATGCAGGACATACAGCCAATTATCCCTTTCTATAGTAATGTGCATTTCGACAATGATGGTTCCATCACTAGCCACGATGTTGTCGAACGTTGGCCATTGTGGGACTCCAAAACTGCTGATTTGGAGAAAGGAATGATCTTTAGTGATAAGAAAAGCTTAGTGCACGCTGTTCAATTGTATAACCTGAAGCACAATCGAGAATGCAAGGTCATAGAATCAAAAGGAAATAGTTGGGTGTCCGAGTGCAAGCACGGCTGTAACTAGAGGGTTTTGGCAACGAAGTTGAAAGATAAAAATTTCTTTCAAATCAGAATGTTTGAAGCGCCGCATCAGTGTGTGTACCCAAGAATAAATAGGGACAATTGCAATCTCAAGTCCAATCTCATTGCTCATTTCATCAAGGGACAGATTGCGGCAAGTAACATGATATAATTTGTTAAGGATTTGAGTATATGTTTGCTATATTGAAATATAATATATATTTGTAAATATCACCAGAATTGCCTCTTGCTACCATAATTGAGGTCGTGAAGGAGAAGTTTCAGTTCACGATATCGTATAAGAAAGCATGGCTTGCTAGGACAAAAGCTATTGCAATAGTGTTTGGGGACTGGGACGAGTAGCACCGAAGGTTGCCCAGATATATGGCTGCATTGCAAGCATTCAATCTAGGCACAGTTGTCATGTGGGACATGATCCCGAAATTGCAATCTACCTCAATCGGTCCTGAAATGTACATGAACTATGTATTCTGGGCATTTAAACTAACAATAGAGGCTTCAAGTACTGTCGTCCAGTGATATGCATTGACGGTACACACTTGTATTGGAAATACAAAGGAAAGATTGTTGCGGCCACTGCAGTGATTACTGTAGACAAGATTGAGTGTTATTTCTAAATCCCACAGTATTTCAGTGTCATTTACACTTTTCAGAAGAGTTCATAATTTCATGCAACTCCCTCACTTGTGTACTTCCCTACAAACATGAAAAACCTAAAAATGACATTAGTCTGAACCGACAACAATAGCCTATCCTTTAAGAACTTAAGTGCTACTCATTGCCAACCAAAAAATAAAAAGGTTCCAATAAGAATAAATTAATATTTTTCAGGGTTTTAGCGCAACACTACAAACGATGGAGTGATAGTTGACTACTTGTTGACGAAAATATAGCAAAAAATATCCAGTGATAGAAGATTCAACCAAAACAAACACACTTCAGCCAATATCTACGTCGTGCAGTTTACATTTTATTAAAGTTCCTCAATAGTAGGTTAGAAGAATTAAATATACAAATATAAAAACCTTATACGGAATGAAAGCAAGCCAACCACAACAAATTTCACAATCCAATCTACTCGTGTACACCATTACAATTGTCAAACATACACTATTACAATTGTGAAGCGTACACCATTACAATTGTGAAACATACACCATTACAAATCTCAAAAAGGACCTTCATTCAAACCGCCACAATTGCTTAAACAAATCAAAAGGCGTTGAGAATTACATTAATACATAAACTTTGTAAAAACTTATGCAACTTCAATCACATATTACTCCTTCACAATTGTGACAGATGAACATGTTCTGCAAGCTCGTAACCAAGTTGACATGTGGATAGAACAGATAATTGGGGATCAGGGCCTACCGTGTCCAAACCAAGTTGTTGGTCCAATTGGAGGGCTCATACAATCCAGCCAGAATATGTAGAATAGGTAACAATTACAAACTTATATTGCTTTGGGTTCTTCCAATACTGAGGGAAGTAAAGTTTAAATACAACCTCAAACCGGGTATGAGAATAAGTCACCTGCTAATATATGGAGTTCTAATAAAAACAGTGAGTCCAATGGTAGCAAGGAGTGAGCTGTTGACAAAAAACAGAATTTGGGAGACGACACGACGTCAAAGGCAAATGGTTGGGGGTCCAGTAGAGGAGGTTGGGGTTGTTCAAGTGAAGAGGGCCAGAGTAAAGTTCAATTTCGGACCTGGAGAAACAATCCCAAAGCCATGTGGTTGGTCCAGTTGGGGGAGGGGGTAATGCAGTTCTGACAGATGACGTGCCCTCTTCAACAACACAGAAAACAGAACAGGTCGCTCAATCAAGAGCTTCCCTTAACTAGGCTTCTTCAAATAGTCATAGTCTGGGTACAAAATTTCATTGTCTGAAACTCAAGAAGATAGACTCACCATTGAATTCCGGCAAGTCCAATGAGGGTGACCACTCTATTACAGATGGGAATGTTGATAGAAAACTAAACTTCAGGGCTGGAGAAACAAGCTCAAAGCCAAGTAGTTGGTCCAGGTGGGGGACTAATAAATTTCAAACACACGAAGTGCCCGCAATAAAGGCACACCAAACAGAATGGGCAACTCCGTCAAAAACCTCCCTTCACTGGACCTTTCCATCAGGACAGCGTTAACAGTCACCATTCAATTCCTCAAATTCCAGTCAGAATGAGGACCACAGTGATGGGAAGTCAACCAATAGGGGGTTCACAAAAACCAAAAATTGGGGGCTGAAAAAACAGTCCCAAAGGCAAGTGGATGGTCTGGTGACACCTCAGTCCTGGGAAGGAATGGGTGCTTCACAAAAATCAGAAAATTGGGGGATGAAATAAAAACTAAATTCGGTGGTCTGGTAAGGGGGCCAATACAACACAGAAACATGATAATATCTCTACTAGACCATAACAAGCATAACACCTATCTCAGTCCAAGACAACCGTTGCTTGGGGTTCAGGGGATGAGGACCAGGGTACAACTACAATCTCAAACATGACAGCATAAACAATCTGCTGTCAATGTCTGGAGTTTCATAAAAAACTAATTTTAAATTTTAAATTCCCCAATAAAAAATGTGAACCCTAATTTATCCAAAACAAACCTCAATGTCGATGATGGAAGGGAGAGGTGCGACGATGTTTTGAGGTCTTTCTCTTCTTCCTTCTTGCTATAGCTCTCGCGGTGGCCTTCGTCTTCTTGGCCTCCTCCGCGGTGCTCTTCGCGTCTCACCCTTCGTCGTTGTTTGTCAAAGAGCAGGGTGTGTGGGTGTCCTTCAGACTGTGGAGCATATATATCACCTTCTAACTCAAAACGAAGACCCAAAAAAAAAAATAATAATAATAATAATAAAAACGACTTACTAAAGCAGTATTAGAAAAAAAAAATAACAATTAATTAATGAAAACGGCTTTACCAAAGCCATATTACAAAACGGTTTTACGAAACTCGTTTTTTGAATTACATTATTTATGGCAATTTATATTTATGTTGAAAAATATTGGGAAATAAAATTACAAAAAGGGTAACCGTTTTCCATAAACTCAAAATTAATTAAACATTAAGTAAAAACGGTTTTTCAAAAACCCAAGGAAAATTTTACTATTTTTTTATTCTTTAAAAAGGGCATTGGCAAAATCGTTTTACAGAAAATGGCTTTAGGAAGATCGTTTTACCCTATAATGGGAATAAAGTAAAAAACACACCATAAAATGAAACTAAAATTTTGAGAATGTCATAGTCAGGGAAATTAGCCATTTATATGTTTTATTATTATTATTATTTTATATTGATGATGATATATTCAATTATTATTTGGATTACATTTGTCTTTCTCCATTAATTAGTCATATGCTCCCACTGCTGGAAATTAGGCTTTTAAATGCCGCTATATCCATCAAAAACGCCGCTAATTGTTTTTGTGGCGTTTAATTCTAAACGTCGAAGATGCGGCCGTCGCTATAGCTTTATGACGCTTTAAAAGCGTCGCTATATTTAGTTTAGACGGCGTTTTTTAAAACGCCGCTAAACATGCTACTCAACTCTACAAATACGTCACGCATTTTTTGCGACGTTTTAAAAACGTCGTGATATATCTTTTTATTTTAAAAATATTACCGTTAATATTATTGTATAATGACGCTTAAAAACGCCGTCATAGCTCCATTTTTCATTTTTCATTTTTCATTTTTTATTTTTTTTGAAATTATGCTAATTCTGTGATTTAACTAAGAAAATACTTGCAATAAAGACAAAAAATATTCAATATATTGACTTAATTTAGGTAAACATAATATTGGATCAATCCATGCTTGTTAATATGCAAAAATATTTCAATTCCAAGATGAAATAAAGTTAAACTAATGCCCATTAGTAAGTTGAAAATTATTACAAAACAAATCTGCACAAAAAAAGAAGAAAAAAAATAAACAGATCAATCATGTACTCTTTACAACTCAGCAAAAAAAAGTTCGGCACAAAAAAAATCAAGCTATCTATGAATCTGTCTGGCATAAAAAAAAAAAAGAAAAGGGGGGGCAGAAAAGGGGGGGGGGGAGTACAACACAATTGCAAAACCAATCATGTGCTCTTTATAGCACTGGGAAGCAGGTTGAAGGCTTCCAACAAGCTTTAGTTCCCCCTGCTTACAATAAAACTATCAATGGCATTTTTCCTGTTAAAAACTAAACAAAGAAATAAAAATTAACCCAAAAGACAAAAAGATATGGAGAGGAAGACAAGATAGACAAAGTTTGCAACATCAATTGACAGTGTTATTGGTGCAACGATTTATTAAAACATGGAGGAACATGTATGTAAATCTCTAGCATTTTGGAAAATTCAATTTCATGATTTTCATTGGAATGAAATTGCTGTCAGAATGTCGTCTAATTTTCTGCAACCAAGCAGAGTGTTACATAACAATGAATACTTAAAATGGAAATGGCAACAGAACATAGTATTATGATCAAAGTACACAATTAAGAAACATGATTTATTTCTCCTAGCAACCAAGTCTTCCATGACGTGGAAGAATTAAACATCTAATCCAGGTTGTTCGACTAATAAGATTTTTAGAAGCTAACAAGAAAAAGCTAAAACCCAATAGCAACGAGTAGAAGATTAGCAGTAATTTCAAACTGTATACAGAACAATTGTAACCAAAAATAAATAAATCACAATCATAAAATCACAAATCTAATAACCATTAAACAATATGTATTACAGACAAGTCATCATAACAACCAATCAATGGACCCCATTGAAGCAAACAACTCAAATCAGCTCAAGTTGATTAACATGATATCGGGTCAAAACTTCATGTAAATTCAACATACCAAGGATTCTCTGTATTCAAATTCCTGTCTTTGTCCTATTACATCTTGAATCATTGGATCACATGAAAATCTTGAGACATGAATCTCGATGTATAATCCAATAATTAGAAGTGTATTAGGATAAGAAAATAGAAGAATTTAGTGAAAAAAAAAAATCCTGCGCATACTTTTAGGTACAATGTTTAGATTATCAGTTTATAACTTGCCAGAAGCTCAACTAATCAATTTTTCTTCTTGGCACCAGAGAGAAATTATATGCCTGTGTTTGTTCATACATAGACATACCTCAAGTAATGGGGAACACCATATTGGTGAAACAGTTGGAGGAGTTGCCATTGCCTTTTCCAACATTTCTGATAAAAATTCACTAATGTTTCATTACATTCATGAATTTAAATGCATGCAATTCAACAGAATTAACAGTACCAAATGAAGCTAGCTTACCCAAACAAGAAAATTAACGAGTTTTAGAACATGTTCAAACCTATCTCGAACAAGATGAACACAAATTGAACTTAAGTAGTTTGGTTAATTTTTTATACCTCTAATATTGTATGTGTTTCCAACGTTGTTCTTTAGATGTTAATCAACTGCTCACCCAACTTTTGTTGCATTGAGCTGTCTTTGGAACTCAAGGAGACGGAGGAACAAGCCTGTTAATCCAAAAAAAAAATTCCAAAAAAAATTCAAATATTAATCAAATGATGGTCTAGTTTGTCTCTTGTAATGATCATCTACCATTTCTATTACATCCACTAGCACTTGTTACTAACATCCATCAGTCTCTTTTGCACATTACCTCAACTTTGAGAAGATAATTTGCAACCAGAGTTAGTAAGAAACTAAAAAATTGACAGTACAGACCTCTAGCATAACCTATAATCTTTGAGTTGGCTCTATGTACTTCCTCCTTGAAACTTCGCGGAAAAAGGCTGCACATAATGTTAAGAAGGATCAGATCAACTATCAAAGTAAAGTTTTACTTATCAAAAAGGGGCCACTTTATTCCAAAACCAAGTTAATCGTTAGGATGAAATCCACACCTAATGTAAAGGAAAGAAACAAAAATAACCTTGCCCAAGAAGATACTTGAAGATTGATTTGACTGGTAAGTTATAGTTCCAAACAGAGATGTCATGTCAGCTTGCATTCAGCTGATTGCTGCATTGCGAAAATCCTCCATAGATTGAAAGGCGAGAGACACTATAAGGTGGGGATTATGGAGAAAAGAATAGGAATAAAGCAGCTTCATAGCATGCACAAGGGTACAAGTAATTATAAGATTTTCAGCAATAATTGGGTCAAAATCTTTACATACAGAGAGTTTGTCAATGTTCATCTTGTCTATCATCTTTGTAATATGATTCAATTTACTCAATTCCAACAACAATATGCTATAAGGTATTTCACATATCACTAGGAGTTCGAAAATACTGCAGTGACGATCCACATCAGTAAGGTAGCCAGGTCAATTAACCTGCTGGATCCAACACAAACACCAGTCAGACCCATGTTGGGTAGCTGGTCACACAAAAATCAGCCTGCTGGACCGAACAAAACCGACTAGTGATTATAGCAAATCATCTAGTGATTATACATACCTAAGGAAGATAAAAAAAACACAAAAACAAAAACAAAAAACTGGAAAAAGGAATCAACTGATTACCTTATACTCCAGATGCAGCTGCTTTCTCACTTCAAAATATCCTAGAACAAAAGATACTCAAATGGCCAGTGGTACTTTGGATTTAGTATGTGAAGGTCCACAGAATCTATCTATAAAATGTCATTAGCAAATGTAGTCCATCAATTATATTGCACAAAGGATCCATTAGATGAGATGTAAAGTGAAATTATCATGAAAGAAAGATGTGGATTAAATAAATAATAATTTCCACCAAAATTAAAGTGACATATTATTGGAATAAATCAAAAGATATACTTAGTGTCCCACCAAAATAACAACTCACATTATATCACTGTAGTGGATGAAAAAGAAAACAACAAGTGTCCCGCAAAAATAATGACTTATGTTACTACAACGATATGAATTACATACAGCCACACAACGATATGCTTGTCATTATAATAACTAGAAAACCATGCATGATCTACTCTTATGTTGTAGTTATGCACAGTTAGGTTTGTGTCATGCTTCACTACATAAATGATTGGGCATCAAATACAATCACTAATCAAAAGCATCAATTTTTACTAACGAAGAAAAAATAGAGGTGGAGAGGACTTCTACTGATAGATGTCAAGTTCAACTACATTTATGATTGCCCAACTAACATCGATTCGAGATCTAATGTCTGTAAAATTTTGCCATCTTATGCTCATCCACCTAGGATAGTTAAAGAAAACAATCATTATAGAAGTTCTAAATTAAGATGTACAAGCAATGAAATAGACTCCATTCAATTATGTTAAAATATAAATGGAAAATTCACCTCCAAATGCTATTCGAACAAATTTCAAAGGTCCTGTTTCAATTGACTTTACAAATATTTCTCAAGCTCAATGAGAATAATTCCACTTCAAAGCATACCATCACAATCACAAAAATAAATATGAAGTAAACATACAGCTCATTTTCTGGACTGCAGAAGTTTACTAAATCTACTTTTCCTTGTGACAAAAACATTTTCAGATGTGCAAAACTCATACATGTAACTCAAATCACGAGGAAAAGCTTAAGGCACATGTGTTTGGTTTCATTATTGATGGGACTCATATTAAGAATACATTTATATCTGAATAGCATGAACAAACACAGAATGTGGCGATCTTGCAGAATCCTTTGAATACCATCAAGGAACTTAGATCGAGTACTTAATCATAATAAAACAAACAATTCTATTACATAGAATTTCATATTTCATTCATTTAAACTCTGTTAAATTTTGGAAGGTAACACAAAATTGGAATGGCTGAAAAGCTGTTTTGACTTGAGAACCTTGTTTTCTCCTCATTGATTACAAAAATGCATTCACAGTATATTCAGCACAGTTTGGAGAATCATTTAGCTGAGCCAAATCCACAACACTGAAAAAGGAAGATCTTTTTATTAACTTATATGAAAAAAAGAAGCATAATACATCGGATCTCCATGACAAAGACATCCATCGTAAAATCAATTTTAGTTGAAGAAACAATAGAGTGGTATACATCAAGGTTCTCCATATCCCTGTAAGTAGGTCAAATCTTAAAGAACACAGATACACCAAAGTTGTAACACCCCACTTTCAACCAATGATCTGGTCTAGAAGGTCTTTAAAAACTTGGTTTTTCATGTTATGTAAACTATGTTTTAAATAATGTGATTCGCAAAACAAGAGAGTTCCCTTTCGAATACAAACAAATTATTGAAGATGTGTGACCTATTGGGAAGAAAAATATAAGAACAAAAAGAAGATGCCACACACCAAAAAAAAAGAAGAAGAGAGAGATTCCATAAAACTTACCTTCAATGCCTCCCATGCAGTAGCATGATCTTCTGGTGCCTGCACAAGGAACAATGAAATAACACATTGTCCTCAAAAACATTTGATAGAATATCCAACATACAACTAGCAAAGGCCCAATACCAATTTTGCAGTTTCATGCCAACAGGATTTATAGCCTACAGGCCAGATCTGGTTGCCATTATGATAAGACAGTTTAGTATCAACTTTTCCCAAAGAAAGCACAAAGAAATCTCCATATTGAACTGGAAGTCCCTCCTGAAAAGAACAGACATAAAATCAGGCATGAAGACCAAGCTAAAGACCATAAGCCAACTACTATAGCCACACAAATAGATGAGCATATATCTAGTCGGGGGAAGTAACCATCTTACATGAAAAAAATATAAACAACTAGTTCACTTACATTAAACTGTTGGGGCCCGGTCCCACTGATTTCTTTTGGCATAGCTCCCACTACTTCTACATTATTTTCAAATTTGCTTGCGCAACCCATAGTATTAAAATCAGATGAGAGATCCTTGCCTAATCCACTTAAATGAATTCATATAAATTTTTTACTACAAACTGAAATTGACAACTAAAAAAGAAACTGTGAGAAATACACTCAATCAAGAGCAATTAATGAAAGCAGCAGCTTAACTAAACCAAAATTTCAAGCAATTAAGAAAGAAGCACCGCTTCAAACAACTCACCAAAATACCAATGTAATTGTAGCTTCTTTGCAGAACTCGCCACCAATAAGTTAAGAGGACATATTTAGCAGCCACCATCATGCCCACACTCATTAATCAAGACAAGACACAAGGACTGAGCAAACAATGCCTCATCCCAACTTGTCAGGTTATCTTATGTACCAAAATCCCCATTCCAGATCCCCATCCATTATAGTGAACAAGCAGAATTTCACATTCCTTCTAAAATTGTACCCAAAAACCATGTTCATTGAATTAACTCTTCTAGAACAAGCATTAAGTAAGTAATAACCTACCATCGCATCATTATTTCTTCTTTTCATTTTTTTAAGTTTTTATTATTTGTATTACTAAAAGATATTCATTAAAACAAACCATAAAACGATAATCACACCTTTATACAACCAAAAACTACACAATTCCATAGTTCCCAAAAGACTACAAAATCTAAAAATTGACCAATGCTTGGGTAACCCTCCCCAAATACCAACCATAAAAATAAATAAATCTACTTTTTAACTCATAAAATGGAACCTCCAGCCATCAAAAGATATTCAATTGTGGTCTCTCCAAATAATCCACATAAAACACAGTATTACAAAAATAAAAATAAAACCTTGATTAATTTGTAATTTAGAATAATCATGGTAGCAATAGAAAATAACATAAAAGACTCAAATTAGTTTTATTTCCACACATTTTCAGATTTTAAAATTGAATTTTGAGTCTTCTTCACACATATGTTCCTATAGAGCCAGAACTGTTATGCACATTTACTCAATATGTCAAACTTTTGGTCGAATTATCTCCCATGGTCTGCTAACATTATGCAGTGGCGAGTACCTGAAGAGAAATTTTAACAATGGCAAAGATTCAAAATGATAAAATAGTTACCCAACTACCCGTCTGCTGAAAACTTTCGAGTGATGAACAGCTAAAAGAAAAAGCAACCCAGCTCAAAAATCAAACGAGAACTGACTACTTGCTAACTGATGATGGATAAACAAGCACGGGAAATTGGTCTATGATTCTCCATTAACTTCAGTGAAAGTTGAACCAATAAATAACAGTCATTAAGAGCCACACGCTAAGACACAGAACTAAATGAGTTTACTCAAGACTTGCCAAAAAAAAAAAAAAAAAACAGATACTTAAATAATACATAGAACATATTTTTCATTTAACAAAGTATGCACGTCAACTGCATTTTAGTATTACTAAAATGTAATTTGAAAGTTGGAAATGAGGAATAATTTGTGATTAAGAGGTGAACGCCAAACAATAACAGAAGTAAATAACTTACTCAAGAATAACTAACATATTTTATATCAAACAGAAAAAGTATCTAAAAAATTATAATTTCAAAGTAAGAACATTATACAGGCAGATAATTCAATGAAAATAAATTCACTCACTTGATAAGCCAATGGAACTCTTCCTCCTTCTCTGAGCAGCCAAAGTCACATGTCCATCTATGACCTAGAAAAGAAACCTAAAAATCAACAAGTGATACTAAAATAAATCAACCAAGTGAACCCACAGATTGCTGGCTGACCTATAGTGAATTTGTGAAATCTAAGCATATCCATAACACCAACATGAGCAAGAGCACAACCAAAAAGATCAGGTCTCCGTAACCACAAAATTTTACAATTTAGTTTGTAGACACGATGTATTATGACAAATGAATAAACCCAAAAAATGCCACCAAGAAAATGAATCAACACCGCTATACCTGATTAATGCAAGCCCCAATAAGAAGCCCACCGTTGCTTCCACCTTCAATACACAATTTTTCTCTGCATCGTTGAGCTTCTACTCACTGCTTCCAACGATCCACATCCAACGCCACCTGCTTGTCCTGTACATGATCAGAGACACTAACACCGTACTCGAAACCCTAGATAAATCGATTCACCATTGTTGCTGCTCAATCTGATGAAAGAGAAGAGTTTTCCACACAAGGACTAGAAAGAGTAAAGCAACAAAAACGAAAGGAGAAAACACAAAACAAAAGCAAAAAAAGCTGGAAATCAACTAAATCGAGAGAAAACAATTCCAAATCGTTAGATTTAGCCATGAAATTTTATAGATCTTGTGTGAATGTAGCAAATCTATATCAGAAAACCCTAACCTTGAGCCCTAGATCGATTTAGATCATCGGGATTCGAACAATCAGGAAGATATACGCTCAAATCAAGAGTAGAACAACATTTTTCAGATCAAACAACCGAAGAATTGATGGAGATCGAAGAGATCGAAGATCCGATGCCTCGAAGATCCAACGCCTCGATTTATCTCTCTTCCTAAAGTCATGCCTCTGTTCGATCAGAATAGAAGACATGGCCTTGAGTTGAACCACTGTTTAAAGGAAATAACCGGCGCACAAAACGAGATGGTTTGGTTTAATTTTTTTAAAATGTAAAAAATCTGGACGGATTTCACGACGTTTTTGAAAACGTCATAAAAAAAACGTCATTGTATGTCGTTTTTCTTGTAGTGTCCTGAATAAAACATGATGACGATGATGATGTTAAAAGTACGAGGATGCTGAGAAATGAATGAGATGTGACTTTGGCCGAGTAAAAGTTTCCAATATATAATAATATTAAAAAGAAAATAGTTTATTTTATGATCTCACTACTCTGGGCTTTTGAGTTTTGATTATTAGTTGGATTATTTATAGGGTGAATTACACAGCGAGGGCATTTTTCATTTAGCTGTTAAATGAGGAGCAGTTACCCACAAAAATATATACATATAAATAAATAAATAAATAAAAGTCTAGAATTTGTAATGAATAACCAAAATTTATTCATGTTGTGGTCTCACATCAATAATTTTAAATATATAGTATTGATTAAAAAATTCTAGGTAATTTTCTAGGCACATTTCCGGCTACCTCACTACAAGAAAAAGCATTTTTGCCGACCACTTTTAGCTACCAAAACTAATTTAGTCGCCAAAAGTCACGGAATTGGCTACCAAAAATAATATTAGTCGGCAAAAGTCAACTTTTTAGCTACTAATTTTTTTTAGTAGGGGAATGTTGATTATTGGCTACTAAAAAAAATTTAGTAGCTAAAGATATTACAATTGGCGACTAAAACAATTTTTAGTAGCTAAACATATGACAATTGGCGACTAAATAAAAATTTAGTAGCCGTAGAGGTACCTTTAGCTACTAAATTATTTGGTAGCCGAATGAAAATAAAAAAATTAACAAAATAGTTATTTTATTTTATTAATAACAATACCATTAGTCTCCACTTGAAAATTTGACTAAACAAAATAGTTATTTTTATTTTTATTTTTAGGTTGTACACCCACCATCCAAAATTATTAATATCTTATTTTATTTTTTATTATCTCAAAATATTAATTTTTTTAAAAAATTAATATTTTTAGATAATAAAAAATAAAATAAGATATTAATAATTTTGGATGGTGGGTGCACAACCTAAAAATAAAAATAAAAACAAAAATAAAAATAACTATTTTGTTTAGTCAAATTTTCAAGTGAAGACTAATGGTATTGTTATTAATAAAATAAAATAACTATTTTATTTAGTCAAATTTTCAAGTGAAGACTAATGGTATTGTTATTAATAAAATAAAATAACTATTTTATTTAGTCAAATTTTCAAGTGAAGACTAATGGTATTGTTATTAATAAAATAAAATAACTATTTTATTTAGTCAAATTTTCAAGTGAAGACTAATGGTATTGTTATTAATAAAATAAAATAACTATTTTATTTAGTCAAATTTTCAAGTGAAGACTAATGGTATTGTTATTAATAAAATAAAATAACTATTTTATTTAGTCAAATTTTCAAGTGAAGACTAATGGTATTGTTATTAATAAAATAAAATAACTATTTTATTTAGTCAAATTTTCAAGTGAAGACTAATGGTATTGTTATTAATAAAATAAAATAACTATTTTATTTAGTCAAATTTTCAAGTGAAGACTAATGGTATTGTTATTAATAAAATAAAATAACTATTTTATTTAGTCAAATTTTCAAGTGAAGACTAATGGTATTGTTATTAATAAAATAAAATAACTATTTTATTTAGTCAAATTTTCAAGTGAAGACTAATGGTATTGTTATTAATAAAATAAAATAACTATTTTATTTAGTCAAATTTTCAAGTGAAGACTAATGGTATTGTTATTAATAAAATAAAATAACTATTTTATTTAGTCAAATTTTCAAGTGAAGACTAATGGTATTGTTATTAATAAAATAAAATAACTATTTTATTTAGTCAAATTTTCAAGTGAAGACTAATGGTATTGTTATTAATAAAATAAAATAACTATTTTATTTAGTCAAATTTTCAAGTGAAGACTAATGGTATTGTTATTAATAAAATAAAATAACTATTTTATTTAGTCAAATTTTCAAGTGAAGACTAATGGTATTGTTATTAATAAAATAAAATAACTATTTTATTTAGTCAAATTTTCAAGTGAAGACTAATGGTATTGTTATTAATAAAATAAAATAACTATTTTGTTAATTTTTTTATTTTCATTCGGCTACCAAACAATTTAGTAGCCGAAAGGTACCTCAACGGCTACTAAATTTTTATTTAGTCGCCAATTGTCATATGTTTAGCTACTAAAAATTGTTTTAGTCGCCAATTGTAATATCTTTAGCTACTAAATTTTTTTTAGTAGCCAATAATCAACATTCCCCTACTAAAAAAAATTAGTAGCTAAAAAGTTGACTTTTGCCGACTAATATTATTTTTGGTAGCCAATTCCGTGACTTTTGCCGACTAAATTAGTTTTGGTAGCTAAAAGTGGTCGACAAAAATGCTTTTTCTTGTAGTGATACTTGAAATAATATCATCTCTCAACAAATTTCCATCCATAAAGCTAACGGAAATATGAATGGAGGCTTGTCAAAACGAGATATTACTTGAAGTGTATTAAATTTAAGGGGCAATTTGAGACCATTAATCTTTTAATAGGTAATTTCTCTAGTATCTTTGAAGGGGCCAATTTACCACTAAATTAAAAATCAAAATTTTTGTTGCAATTCATTAAATCAATGTAATAATAAACAAATTTATAAATTGTTTTGAGAAGTGGCTTATAAGCTGATTTTTTAACTTATTACGAAAAAAAATGTGTAAAAAATAAAAAGATAATTTGACTCAAATAAGCCAATAAACTAACTTATAAACTGGTTCCCAAAAGAGGCCTACATAATAAAAAAGTTTGACAAAAAATGTGAGATTTTGTTAACGTATGTATTCTTAATGAACATATTAATAAGTTTGAAATAATTGTATATTTTGTATAAAAAAATATGAATTAAAATACAAAATTTTTAAATTTTTTAAAATATTCTCCAATGCCACAATTAATATGAAAAGTATAATCATCACAACATTAATACTGCATACCATAAAATTTACTCACAAAAATATTGCTAATAATAAATCTACAATATATATATATATACACACATTGGAGGAAGATTCCCTTCAGTCCAAAATCTAGATTGGAGGGGGTTGTTTGGTCTCGTGGGGCTCACTATGAGCCATGTTTCGATAATCCAAACCATTTATTTTGTTGAGTTTTTTAAGTATTTCATTCACACAAAAATTAGGTCGATCCGATAAGTGTATACTACAACAAAATTGGGTTTTTACGATTTCATAGCAACCACATACAGTAAATGCAAGTTGTGGTTTCATTTTGATTTATTCTTAATTTTTTGCATGTCGTAAATAATTTTCCAACCACAACGTGTCTATTGCGTAGGTCGTGAATTCTAATAACGATAATTTCTTTTAAGGCTTGCAATATTAGTCGTAAATAATAAAATTTTCTATGACGTGCATATGGCATGCTGTCAAGCTATTAAAAATATTGAACATTTCACGGTGCACAAAAAACCAGCCATTAAAAATTGTACTTTTCACGATGCACAAAAAGTGAGCCGTTTAAAATATTGCACTTTCCACGACACGCAATTGCTGTCGTGAAAGGTATGACCGAAAAAAAAAAGTAGCGCCAAAATGAAAATTTCGAGCATCAAACACCAAAAAATTTTTAAAAAAAGAAAAAAGAAAAGAAGAAACAATCAAAAGCCTTAACTT